TATGTAAAAATTCTAAGATGGAGAGGTCACTTCCCCACAAAGTTCCCACCATTTTTACATCAACCACCTAATACTTTACACTCTGGGGCTACTATAAATAAAAGAAAAGCAAGATGTAGCAATAACTGACACATACAGTCTCTCCCAAATCCTTCTGCAAGGGTTGGTCTACTTAATTCTAGGATTACTGCTGACAAGGACATGAAGGGGTCAGGGTCAACAAATGATGGCCCAGTAATTTGTCATAATGACTAACTGAACTATGGTAAAGTATCTTTCAATAATCACGATTCTAGTTAAGAGACTCCTTAGGGTATGGAATACCACCTGACTGGGGGTCCTGACAGAGAGGCCTTTCTCAACTCTATTTACAGAAGGTAGAGTGTGACTTGTTTCTTGGTTGCTACTCATTTTTTCCCACGATCTGCCAAAGTTAGAAAAACCAGTCCTTCAGATAACAAATAACCCAAGAGTGCCAAATACTAGATGAAAGAAAACAACAATGTAGACTCAAGATATGCTTGGCAAAAGCAACCACACTGTTCACAAATGGGAATTCCCCAGTGAGAATTCTTCCTCTGTCTCCCTACCCCACGATGAGACCAGAATCCATCTCCTCTAAACTATTATTAAATTCTATTTTTCAGTAAGTGGATAAAATTTAAAGCATCTGAAAGGCACCACCTGACAAACTACTTATACTCACCATGCTAATTCCATATTCCTTCAAAACCAGTAGAATCTTCAGTGCCTCTAATTTGTACAACGTGTCATCCACTGCTACTTTTAAATTGTATTTGATTGCCTCTCCAATTATTTATCCTGAATGTACCCACTGCTGGCTCATTAATCACTCCCTATTCTCTCAGCCCCTTTAAAAAAGAAATGAATAGCGACTCGTTCCACCACCGAGGCTTCTATTATCACAGCTTCTTATTTCAGAATTGAACCATCACCTCCTTCTGTAGCACACAGGCAATCTGTTCACAGCTCTAATCCTCCTTCCTTGTTCTCTCAATCGACATCCACAGGCTGAATGTTGTGTCTCCTTTCTTATCACTACCTCCAGGTCGAAACAGCAAATCCTTCTCTGACAGCATCCCAGATCTGGGCATTTTCATGAACACAAATTGATTGTGTTTTGACAACCAGAGTGGCAGCAGCACATGAGGATTACAAGTTTTAATGTTCTGTCCATTCATTCATTGCTGAAGCAACACAGCATTATTCATGAATACAATGACCTGTATTCACACTTGCAAAAAGCACATAACTTGAGGTACTTTTTTTCTTGCAAAATTAATGATCACTGAATGGGGCCAATACTGAATGTGTCTAATACTGAATGTGTCATACCACAACTGCTAAATAAAGAAATTTAAGTTCATCTCAATCAATTAAAACATCAGTAGATCTTTTATTTTTGTTGTTATTGTTTGTTAGTGATAATTAAACTATGTTGGATCTAGGCTGTCTGGGAAGGCAAAGATGAAAAACAATTCATTACAGGAAAAAGGCAGACTGGAAAGTGACAAAACAGCTATTTAAAATAAAATTTTGAACAGCACATAATGTATGATCTTATCTACTGTTCTGATTTATAATCACAATTAGTCTGAACCAGACACACACCTCTCATTTTCCTGATGTGACATACTCCAAGTTCTCTTCCAGTTATCATGGTATATACAATTAATAAAAACAGTTCCTTAAACTGTTTTTCAAATCAGAGACTTTATTTCTCTGTGGAAAGCTTTGCAAGACAAAGACTGAAAAGAGAAATACTACTTTCCAGCTGCCAACCTAGGTCAATGGTTCTAAATTAGGTCTGTGTAGTAGCATCTACTGATCCAGTTAAATCAAAATAAGACTGTTTACAGCTATTGTAAACAAATTGTAAACAAATTATATTAAACTATTTAAATGAATCTTGTCCATATCAAACTCTGATGAAATACATACCATGGGAAGCTAATAGTTCATGGAAACTCTATGCTGGTTGGTGAGGTATTTACATTGAGTTCCTTTATCATCAAAGAAAAGAAGAGAAAGAAAGAAAGGAAGGAAGAATGAAGGAAGAATGAAAGAAGGAGGAAGGATGGAGGAAGGAAGGAAAGAAGGAAGAAAGAAGGGAAGAAAAACAAAGAAAGAAAGAAAGGAACTAATATGGACTATTCAGATTCACAGAGAAGCAAGAAAATCCTGAACACTGGGAGATGGGGGGGAAAGGAACCTTTATTCTGTGGCAGAACAATAAGAGCTATCTTTTTCATCAATAAAGACCGTCAGTGAACAAGCATTTATTAAGCTCCTACTATGTACCATGCATTGTGTTAGGCACATGAGATTCAAAAGACAAAAATAAAAACAGACTCAGCCTTCAAGGAGCTTATATTCAATCAGAGAAAATAAAATGCACAAATATGAGTATATATAGAATACTACATATATGTTTTATGTATATTTATATGGGTATATGATATATACATATATATATGTATATATATATACATGGGTATATATACACATACACATATATGTATGCACACACATGCGCACACAAAATTCAAGGTAATTAAATGCAAAGTTGAAAGGAAAGGAAGGTACTATCAGGAAAGACAAGGGTAATCAGAAAAGGCTTCATGTAGAAGGTAGTGAGTAACTGTATGAGACAGAGGGAAGGAGAGACCTCATTTCAGGTACGGGGGTGGCCAGTAGAAAGGCACAGAAACAGCAGATAGAATATCATCTATAAGTAAAGGGAAGGCAAGTTTAGCTAGACCAGAAAATACAGGAAGAGGGGTAATGCATAATGAGGTTGGAAAGATTGCTGTTGGACCAGGTTGTGAAAGACTTTAAAAGCCAAACAGGAATTTATATTTGATCATGGAGGCAACAGGGGGCCATTAACGTTTACTGAGTAGCTAAGTGATGTGTGGGAAATCACGTTGGCAGTTGTCTGGAATGTGGAGTGGAGTGGGAAGAGGCTCGTGAGGCAGGAAGACCAACAGAGAGGTCACTGCAAAAGTCAAGACTGAAGAGGCAATGAGGAGGCCTGAACTAGTGTGGTGGCTTTATCAACAGAAAAAAAAAAGGTCTAGATGAGGGAAATGTAGAACCAGCAACATTTTGTAAATAACTTGATATATGAAGTGAAAGAGAGTGAAAATGAGGACAGGCAAGTTTGCCAACTTAGAGGCCTTCCACAGAAACAGGGAAGTCTGAAAGAGGGGTAAAAGCTTGAGGTGAAAGATAATGAATTCTGTTTGTGACATGTTGAGTTTGAGATGTCTCAGGGACACCCAACTTGAAATATCTGATAGATAGCGGGAGCTATAACACTGAAACTCCAGGAGAGAGTAGACCTGGATATATAGGTCTGTGAATCATCTTCAGAGATGATAATTAAATCCATGAGAACTGATGAGGTCATACAGCGGGGATATAAAAAGAGACTAGGCCTTCGTATTAGGTACACCCACAGTTAAGGATGATTAACCAGTAAAGGAGACTGAGGAGTAGACAGGGAGAGGGAAGCCAAGAGAGGAGACAGCATCCAGGAGGAGAAAGTGGTCAACAACATCAAGGTCAAGAAGAATGAAGGCTGAGAAAAGACCATCACAGCTGATAATTAAGAAATTGGTGGTGACCTTGAATGCTGAGGCCTGAAGAGCAAGAGGAAAGTAAACCAGAAAAGACCTCAAATTCATAAAGTACCTAAGCCTTCTAGAGCTGCTGAATGGGTTCCAGAAAGGAAAAGTCGCTTTTGCTGCCTAAGGGGTCTGGTCAGTGAAAGTCCTAGGAAAGCGAAAAGGAAGCATGAAACCTGCGTCACAGCCAATTTCTCATTCCTCCAATAGGTCCCACTGAAGGCTCATCTGGATTTAAAATCCAAAATTACTGCGTTAATAGACAGGAGGAGGATTTCCATTAAAGCACTTAAAATCCCTTACACTATGGGTTCCAACCTACAGTCTTGGTATATTGTACATTGGTTCCCTGTACACATTCTGTGGCGTGGCCAAACTCGCTTTCTTTTGCTTAAAACACATGACACCTCTCATATCTCCATGCCTCTGCAAAGGCTGTGACCCTCATGCCTAGGCTACACTCCATTCTTCTCTCTACCTCTTAGAATTCCTACTCGTCCTCAAAGCTTAGCTTGAATATTACCTTCTATATAAGCCCCTTCTTCTCCCCAGTTGTAAGTGTCTTCCACCAAAAATTACCTTCTAACAACTTCTATATCTACATATTCTCCTTACAGAATGTAAGCAGCTTGAGGGAAATGTTTAGTATTTGCCCCTCTTTCCCCAAAGCATAGGCAGCATCATTTTATATGCTATATATATCATATATTACATTATATACACACACACATATATAGTACGACCATCTCTCTGGAGGTCTTTTTTTATGGATATAAAGAGTATATGAGGAAGTAATATTAAATCCCCAATTTATCACCATGAGCTTAATAAATCTGTACTGAAAAGGTCAGATTTTAAAATATTAATTTACAGAATATATGAACTTGGACCATTTGTGCTTTTAACATTTTCCAAGTTTATCTACCAAGAATGAAAATTTAAGGAATGACTCACTTGGATATTTGAATTTCTTATCACATAAGTTTAAGGTTCATGTAAAACGTAAAAATGAAAATATGTAAAAAATGACTCTGTAGTTGCTTTTTTTTTTAAAGGCCTGAGCACCTCTAGGTTTCTTTTCTGCTAATGTTCAAAAAGATTTTTTTAAATATGCAAACAAATTTAGACACAGATTGCTTCCATATCATTTATGGAAATACCTCAGTATAATAACTCAGAACTATTTCTACAATTATTATCATATTTATTCCACACAAAGGCCTAGCATGTAAAACAATGGAAACACACTTTTAACACTGAAAAATAGGGAAAATAAAAAGTTTTGGTTTAGGCATAGAGCATTAAAATTTAAGGTGATTAAAGGAGAGGACCAATGATTAGATACATTACCTTAGCATTCTCTAGTAGGGTATCATTTCTGCCTAAGCCCGGTCCTATGACAATGGTATGTAATCTGGGTAACCACTTAGCAACTTCTTCATCAGTATGAGGACTATCACTGCATAGGGAAAAAAAAGTACAAAACGGTTTACAAGTATAACTCTTTAAAGCTTAATTTTGTCCCTCCATTAAAGTCCTAAAATGATGCCTCGTTTTAGAGTAGAGGCGACTAAAAGCTATATTCCAGGTCCAAGAAAATTTGAAAGCTTTTGAGTTAGGGCCCAAATGACATACTGTACATCTGTCACGCGAAACACAGCCTATGGAGGTTGGGTAAGGTTTGTCACACCAAAAACCTGGTGAAAGGTGATGAATTTTTGTTCACATTAACTCATGAAGACCAGTTAATAAGGCTTCAAGGGTCTATAATCTGCATCACTGAAGGCAATATAAATGCTGAGGAAATCACAGATACTCTAGGTGCTGAAGTCATTAAAAATTCCACACTGACTATTAAGACAAGAGTAGAGCAAGAAATTGCTGATAATTTCACAATTACCTTTGCCTACTAAAAGTGAATCAAAAGTTAATCAAACTAAAAGTTAATTTTATATTAAAAGTTAAATGCATTATCTCTGCCTAAATCTGGTCCTATTACAATGGCATATAATCTGAGTGTTGTTGTTCAGTCATATTTTAGTTGTGTCCAACTCTTTGTGACTCTATTTGGGATTTTCTCGGCAAAGATACCGGAGTGGTTTGCCACTTCCTTCTCCAGCTCGTTTTTACATATGAGGAAAGTGAGGCAAACAGAATTAAGTGACTTTCCCCAGGGTCACACTAGTATGTGTCTGAGGTCACATTTGAACTCGAGTCTTCCTGACTTCAGGCCCAACACTTTATCCACTGTGCCACACAGTAATAAGAACTTATTAAGCACCTAGTAGGTGCTAGGCACTGTGCTAGAAGATGGAATGAAATAATCCCTCTTCTCAAGGAGTGTATTGGGGATGACAATCATACTGTTTGCTTGTATCACATGTAACTTTACCCAAGGGTATTTTTGAAAAGCGAGGAGATGAAGACAGCACAATACAGTGGCGAAAGAACTGGTTCTGGAGTCAGAGGATTTCCAGCACTTAGCACAGTGCCTGGCACATAGTAGGAGCTTTAAAAATGTTTAAGGATTGACTGACTGACTTGAGTTTAAAAGTATCCGCTGCTACTTAATGACCTTCAGGCAAATTACTTAAACCTGCCTGAGCCTCATAATACTCATCTGGAATAAAATGACAGGGTTGTGTTCTATGGCCTCAGAGGTCCCTTCCAGCTCTAGACTGGTGATCTAATGTAGCTCTTCAAATCAGGTTTCCTACACCAAATCATATTGTAAGTGCACTTGGAGGAGCTCACTATTTAAAGAGCACCATCGTGAATACTTCAGTTGAGGAAAAATCTTTGTGCAGAGCATTTGTGTTTGCAAAGTGCTTTCCCATCAGGCATCCATTTCACTAAATTACTGAATCTTACAAAAGGAAGGCACTTTAAGAAATCATCAAGTCCAACTTGTCTCCTAATGCATCAGATGGTCAAACAGTCACTGCCTGAACAAGTCTGATAACAGAGAACTTAGTGCTTTTTAAGTTTTTCAACTCCATGATTTATTATAATTTATAAATTCATTAGAAGCTTTATTAGAAATGTATTATGTGTTATACTTTATCAGAATATTATTTGTTTTATTAGAATTTATTAGAAACAATTAGAAATTTATTAGAATATAATTTATTTTATTAGAATTTATAATTTATTAGAAATAAATTTATTGGAACAATTTATTGGAATCTGTCATTATTACTTATTAGAATGTTTATTTTATTTATTAGAATTTATAATTGATTGGAAATTAATTAGAAAATATATTATTTGTGATTTATTAGAAATTTATTATGATTTAGTATGTCTTGTTTATTGGAATTCATAATTTATTAGAAATGTATTTTTATTAGAATTTATAATTTATTAGAAATAAATTTATTAGAATGATTTAATAGAAATATATTATTTATTATAATTTATTAGAATATTTATTTTATTAGAATTCATCATTTATTAGAAATAAACTTATTAGAATGATTTCTTAGAAATCTGAAAATAAACTAAAAGGTAAGTTGTTAACAACTAAATCTGCATAGGTAAAAAAAACACATTTTATCCAAAACAATGTAGGACCATAAGATTTAGAGTTGGAAAGGACCTTGGGATTTTCTCGGCAAAGATACTGGAGTGGTTTGCCATTTCCTTCTCCAGCTCATTTTTACGTATGAGGAAAGTGAGGCAAACAGAATTAAGTGACTTTCCTAGATCAAACCACCCCTACCACCCCTACCACTACCACCATCATTTTACAGATAAAGACACTGAAGCCCAGATAAAGTGATATGTCCCTCACAACACAGAACCAGGATATAAACCCAGGACCTCTCACTACAGATCTAGGGCCCTGTCCACTGTGTCACCAACACCTGGACTTGTACCCAGGTCTTCCTGGCTTAAAGCCCAGGTCTTTTTCCACTACACGATGCTGCCTCTCTTAACAGTTTCTTCCATATCCTTTAAAACCATTTTGAGCATCTAAGAAAATTCAGAGTTCTTTTAATGACTCCAAACTTCTCTCAGAAACAAAGGCCCACCTTTCTAATACCAGTGTTCTTCTGGGGTTGTATGGCCCCAAGTCCGGGAACACCCCAGGCCCCTGAAGGTCACCCAAAGGGCAATGAAAAGGTACATGGTAGGCATTTGCATGGTGCAACCCATTATGAATGAGGATTTATGGAGAAGTGGCAAAAAGGACACCATAAAAAAAAATACTTGAACAAAAAACGGAAGGTAGGTCAGTCACCCAGCGAGAATATGAGTCAATGAATAGACAACCCATATGCTCCAGAGGCATCCCTGTGACCAAAAGAAATCAAGGAAGGTTAGTGGACATTAGTGGACCCCACTGTGGCAAACTGATGGCAGGACACAGACAAGGATTACATAGAATGGGCAGGCATGGGGAGGTGGATCTATAGTCTCTCTGGGGAACAACTCACTGATGAAATCCAACTGTTTGAGTAAGGCATCTACCTTCTTCAGTAACCTTTCTTGGTTACTACAGGAGAGATGATTAACAACCAGTAGATAACGAGTTGCATTTTTGTTTTAATTTAAACTAATTTATCACGTCTTCTTCCCATTGCATCCCCTTATCCCCACTTAACAATCTTTATTTTTTTAAACAATCTTTTTTTAAAAGCTCTCCCAACACACATCCTCAAGGCAAAATAAATTCCCATTCTTAGCCATGTCCAAAAATGCAGGTCTCATTCCGGGTTGCAGAATGTGGGTGGTAGGATTCATCTTCAGTCCTCTGGACTCAGGGCTTATCACTGTGACATGAATTTTATCTTAGTTTTCTTACTGGGATGGTCTCAGAGAGGCATCCTTTTATTATTATTTGTAGCATTCCAGGAAGGAAGAACATCAAAAATGAAATCTGAAAAAATGCATCATGACAACAGAAGTCTTAAAGGGAAACTCACCTACACATGAATGTCAGGTTAAATCTACACACAGCAAACCCTATTACAGCATCACCAAATTTCAGTTTTGGAAGGGACCTCGGCAAGGGTCTTCAAATAACTGCCCGAGGACCAAATAGTTGGGTGTTTTGAGGTTTTGAAGGGGAGCCAAGAATGGTTTTTACATTTTTAAGTAGAATAAAACTTTATTTAAAGATGTAAAAACCATCCCAATCTTGTCTAACTCATACTCAAATAAAAATCTCTTCAACAATTTCTCTGACAAGTGATCACTCAGTTTTTCCTTAAAAGTCTAAAATAATGGGATCCCACAGCTTCCTGGGGCATCCCATTCTACTTTTGGATAGCCCTATATAAAACATACAACAGATTATCAGAGCACAAGAGATAGAAATAGGAAACTTCTGCTACTAATGGCACTAACCACCATCTCTAAAACTTTTCGTCTCACACTTGATGAAAGACTTATGTGACTTGCCCCATAGTCACCACCAGAATGAGTCAGAAGCAGGACTAGAACTCAGGTCTTCTTGGCTTAGAAGCCAGCTCTCTTTCCACTACAAAACGCAGCTTCTCATAACAGAATATAAGGATGATCAAATATGCACAATTCTGGCTCAAATTATGTCTATGATGAGTAAGACCATTGATCACATTTGCAATGCAGGGAAGCCATAATTTAGTTTTGGGTATATTCTCTCTCTTCTCCTCAAAGATAACTTACCTAACCTTCTTAAAGTGTTTTTGTATCCTATTTCATTTAACTGAGAAACGTAGTTATACGTACATTTAAAAGGCCATAAAACAAATACATACATAAGATACACTGAATAATACCCCACATAAAAGGAAACAAATTACAAGGTGAATGAATAGACTGTTGCCTACACTTCTACAGACAGGATTAATTGGTTAAGTAAGAGTTCCTACAGTTAATTAGAGGCATTACTAACTGGAATAAAGGGATATTTCTTTGTAGTTCCACAATTATGTTAGACTTCCACAAAAAAGCTTATAGGTTTCCCAAACTAAGAAACAGTACAGCTAATTGTTCTCCTCTCTCCCTCCCCAACCTCAACTACACACAATCACCTCAAAGGTGATCATTTACAATCCAAGCTGTCTACATGTTAATTATCATCTTTAATTATCCACAGCAATTTTAACTCTAAGGATGGCTTCTTCATTCTGTTAACCAGCACAGACCTGCTGGTGTTTGCTTGGGAAATGCAAATTAGTTTCAATTTCAGACAATGTAAAACATAATTAAGAAGGAAGATTTGTTAACATAAAATCATAATGCATGACACAAAGGGAAAAAAACCTGGGATTATTCCTATAGTGTATTTATTCACAGATCTCTTCCTTTTGGCACAGGGGTTATCAACCTAAGTTCTAAAAAATTATTTCTGTATTATTTTGATAACTGTATTTCATAGGTTTCCTTTGTAACCTTATAAGTATCTAATTCTATGCATTTAAAAACATCATTCTAAGAAGGGATCCATAGGCTTCGCCACACTGCCAAAAG